AATTTTTATATCCTGAAATTCCGGGATTGTTAAAATGCTTCGGGATTGAATGCCCTAGTATGTATACATTTTTTTTTTACATCAATTACATTATTTAGTAACGCTAAGCTCGAAACAAAAACCAAAAGTAAAATAAAAAATAAAAAAAAAAACAGCAATCTAACCTTACGCAGCCGATGGCTGGAAAAGTGCCAATACAAGTCAGCTAAACGAACGACATATGTTATTAGTTGTGCGCACACAAAATTGTCACATCTGCCGTCTGCGCATGCGCAACCCAATCTTGCTTTCATTTAAAATGCTTAAACATATTTGAGAGGGGGAATATACAACCGTTTGCGTTGGTGATTACTTTGTTGCATTCACTGCTGCGTTCTACTTAAATCTACATTTACGAATATTCATATGCTTACGTAAATATATACATACTACATACATACTTAGATACGTATGTACATATGCACGCATGTAGTATGTAACAACATTTTTGTTGCTGTAATTTACAATTTTTACAAGTAATACACACCCCAATTATTCGCTGAACGCTGCACGCCGTTTGCCAACTGCTGGGGTCTGTCGCCCTAACTGGCATTTGTTGTACGGCATACCCATTGAGGTGTGCTATCAGAGCAAACTCGCTCGCGTACGCTTCAATTTAGGCCGTTTATCAATTTATGTGGATGTAAGTGTATATGTATATAGATTTGTACCTTTTCCTAAGTTTTTGCGTTCACTGCCCTCATTCTACAAAACACCACCAAATAGTTAATGAATCTTAACGCATAAATGTTAACACAAACATATCTACATATGCGAAATATTTTGTTTACCTTTATGTACATATGTACACTAGGGTGCATTACTCTAGATGCATGCAAAAAAAAACTCGGTACTGTTTTTCCATCCGAAACATAAAATGTATTATATTTCAAGATTTTCACCAAAATATTGCGGAAAAATATTAAGATTTACGTGAGCTGGACCTATTACAAATATTTTGATGGAAGTCTTAGAATATAATGAGTATTATATCTCCGGTGGAAAAACCGCAACCATATTTTTGGTGATGCATCCTCATGTCCATATGCACATTAGGGTGGTAAAAAAAAAGAAAATAAAGTCGGATTTTTCATGCCGCCACCCCTGAGATTGTTTTATACCGAAAAAAATTTACCCTATTTTTTTTAAATCAACAAATATTTAGAGAGTGCACAAAGCGCTCAATTTTTTCCATGTATTTCATATGGGAAAAAAACGACTTTTGATAGAAATGGTATATGGTATACAATTCTTGAAATTCAATATTTCTCGATCGGAAATCTTTATTCTCTTCTGGAGATCCGCAATTGTTTATTTAACCATTTTTCATGGTAACTTTATTTTATAGGTCCGCCAAACCCAAACAAAAAAATGTAATGAGGCGACCACTAAAAAATCTTTAGTATTAAAAAATGGTTAAATAAACAATTGGATAGTATTATTGGAAGTCTCCTGAATAGAAGAGAGTTTTCCGATCGAAAAATATTGATTTTCAAGAATTCTATACCATTTCTACGAAAAGTTGTTTTTTTTTTCATATAAAACACATGGAAAACGTGGAGAGCTTTAAGCACTCTCTATATATTTTTTGGTCTCGAAATAAAAAATACGGGGTATATTTTTTTGATAGGGGGTGGCGGCCTTAAAATTCCGACTTTACTTTTTTTCGGAACACCCCAATGTACATATGCAAGTATGTAAATGTATATTTAAGTACATATGTATGTGTGAATCCATAGTTATTTTTGTCGCTTACGGGTCATTCCCTTTTTACCATATTCAAGTTCGTCAAAGCGCTTTCAAGGGATGAATTGATTGTTATCTGTCTGTCGGTTTGTTTGACTGACTAAATGTTTTAGCTGCGACACGTACGAGGGCTAATCCACATATTTTGCCTCCAACGATAATTCTTTTATATTAAAATACTCTTGATAAAGATTCATAGCCTTTTACAAACACTCAAACCATTTATCGTAGCATTTTCTCAATCCCATCCAAGTAGATACTAATTACCTCTAAAAAATTAGTGCTGAAAGCTTCAACAGCTACTTCACACTTGGATTTTTTTTCTATGTAGCCCACATTATTTGAGAATAAGGAATAACAATAATATTTTGGCGCTTACACTTTTGCTAAGTGTTTGGCCGAGCTTCTCGTCCAATTTGTGGTGTGTGTCTTGAAGTTACATAAATGGAGGGTCTTACAGTTTTACGCCGCCTGCCTCCGAACGCCAAATGGATTTTATGAGAAGCTTTTTCATGGCAGAAATAAACTCGGAGATGGGCATTGTTCGATAAGCGGGAGTGAAATTTCTCCAACACAAATAAGTAATGCTAATACCCTAAATACGTTTACACTAAACAACTGCAAAGTTTTCTATTGAGAAACCATACGGCTACTGGCAATATTAAGGAGTTTCCAAGGCGCATTATTTCTGGAGTAGCCCTCGTAAACCAAGGTTTCGTCGGTTTTGCGTGCATGAATTTACTTAAGCACATTTTTATGCAGACTTTTTGGAAATTAATGGTCTAACAACTTTTTTTTTATCGGTGCTTAAATTTAAATCCTAATAAATGTTAATTTTGTTCCTGTATATAATTCACATATTTACTTACATACATACATACATAAGCATGGATCACCTTACAAGCGAAAAAAACAGAGTTTGCCGTACACCCTGAGTCTAAAGTATTTTTGCAAATCGCTTTACAAAAAAAAATTTTTTTGGTCGAAGGTAAGTGTCGGTGACACCTACATTAGGGTAGTCCTTAACATATCAACATGATGGGTACCCTTTTGTTTTGTTCTACGTACAAAATAAAGACAACAACGAAAATTTAAAAATTCAAAACAAAATAAAGGGTGGCACTAAGGTTTGAAAAAATTTATTTATTTTTTGGTTTTTAAATCCCAAAACTCCGATAACAGTTTGTCTTTGGCCAGCTATACCTCAAGGAGTTTGTGAATTTATATGAATAAGATTCAGTAATATGTTAAATAGTTCTACTGGATTAATCGAAATACTTCCTTAGCAAAAGTTCAGTGATTTTTGGCGAGCCTTAATTAACTGATACTAGGGTGGTATGTTAGGGAGATAAGAACTAAGGTTTGGTGGGTAAGTATTAGAACCGGGTACTTGTGGTCAAAGAACTTCGAAACAAAAGAATTGTCTTATCTCCTCGAGACAAGAACAACCCACGATTGCCAGAATAGCCGTTCTGGCGAGGAATCGGAAAAATAATTTAGTATTGTATTTACATAGTATTAGACTTCTAGGGCCAAATTACCTCCATGGCCTGAGAGAAGCTATTTAAGCCCCTAGGACTGGGCCTAACCGTATATTCCGATATCCGGTTAAAAACCGTCCCCTTTTGTTTTTCGGATATCCGGCTAATATACGTTAGTTTTGCTATCGGTATGTTCGGTTAATATGCGTTAATTTTTTACCCAAATTTTCAGATTTTTTAATCAGATATTCAGATTATCCGGATATAAAAAAGGCGGGAATACCAGGTGCTCATGAAATTTGATGTGTAAACAACTTTGTACGGCTTGGCAAATCATTAGACGATTCAGTTACAATATATCGATACCTGAGTGGATGATCGACCTATCTCGAAAACTTTTCAAGAACGCCCTATCTAAGAATTTTGATCAAAAACGCCCTATCTCAACTGAAAATATGCAGCTGCAATAGAGTGTTTTTGAACCGAATTCTGAAATAGGATGCTCTTGAAAAGTTTTCTGAGATAGGGCGTTATAGAACTGTCTGCCGAGATGGGTCGATCATCCACTCAGGTGTCGATTTATACTTACAAAAATAGGTTGGGTTAGAAATTAAATATTCATTTCAGCGGTCCAGAAGTGGTTCTATATTAATCCCGAAATAGTCATGAAATTGCCCTAAACTGGACCAGAAAGGTTCATTACACACATAAAGGCCACCGATTAAGTAGTAATTTTACTTCCGTTTTTCCTGCAGGGATACGAACTGAAGTTCTTTAATACATATCGTACATGTGTTTGTATGTATGTATGTATATACCATGTCCTTGGAAGCAGTATGCGCCAGACATTAGCACCCTTGCTGAGTGCAATGCCAATGGCTTTGGCACGGTTGGCAGCCCATTACCAATGCATTTTCGTTTCGTTTCGATTCGTGCATTTCAATTTCATTATTTTCGATTTTCTCTGTTGTTATTAAGTGCATGTTGTTGTTTCGCCTTGGGCTTTTCGCAGTTTTTGGCAATGCCACCACTATGACTGCATACATACATACATATGTATGTACTTATGTATAAACGTTACCGATTTTTGTCTTGCAATCTGCAGACTCATGTACAT